TGACCAGCATCTTCCAACCAGACCTCCTAAGAGCAAGTTTGCTTCAGCATTCCCAGGGCCCAGCTGCCTTCCAAAAGCCTGCCTCTGAGCACCTAAGGCCCTTGGAGGACATCTAGATCCAAACTGTAATAAAGACTTAGCACAACCCTAAGCTGAGCTCCTTCTACAACATCACAGCTTTATTCGCTGTATTTTATTCTCAGTAATTTTTGAATGACATATATATTTCATCAGTTCAGTAGACAGCTTTATACACTCTTTCTGTGTTATTTTTAAATCATTCTCATGAAGATTTAATTAGAAGATGTATGGAGGCAGTTGGTTCCGTGCTCAAACATGATAACATCACAAATGGAGCCTGTTCCTAACCATCATCATCATCATCATGGTGGGAAGTGAGCCTTGGTCCCAGTCAGGAGCAGCATTCCCCTCACCTACCTCAAGAGAGGCTGGTCTCCAAAGAGCCTCCTCTGACACTTCCTCAACTTACTGCAGAGGGAGCTCAGAACCTCAGGAACTGAAATGCTCACCGACTTTGGAATGTTGCCAGGCAACAATCTTGCTCTGTCACTGGGATCTGCCCACCTGGGACTGTGGTGGCCTGGGCTGGCGGAGAACTCACTCCCTCTGAGGGACAGGACATCTCCTCCTCTCACACCTGCCTGCTGCCTGGCCCCGCTGCACAGCCCCTTACCACTCTCTCTATGAGCCTGCTCTCTGAGGCAGCCCTTCCTGTCCAGTGCAGCTTTACCATGCCTGAGTATGATGTCCACATAATATGAGGAAGAAAAAAGTAGAAAGGGCAGGGGAAAGCATTATTTTCTTCCCAAATGACTGGACTTGGAAGTCCTCGGAAAACTCTAGAAGGGCCTTGGCCAGTATGAACAACCACACTGTGCTCCACCATGAGCAGCTAAGAACTGAAGTCTGTTCAGTTGGAGCCAGAGAATGAAGTGAGTCAATCATTTGGAACCTTGGGAAAAGTAATGATGAGAGTCAAGATCCTCCCCAGGTTACCTGGGAGATTTACACCAAGAAGCCTATGGCTCCCTTCTCTTAGCTCCTCTCCTTCCTCAGCTGTCACACCCCTCCCAGCCTCCTCCTCCCTTGAATCCAGACCACAGGCCACCCACCACTTACGGATGAAACACTGAGTTTCCAGTCACTATTTCCAAACATATGAGGAGTTAGAAGAGACAATATTAAGGACAAGGGGGGAAATAGGAAATAAAAGCAGCAGATGAGGAGACAGAGGAAAGAAGGTATCTCTGGCATAAACTTCAGAGCTCTGAACACATTTTCCTAAACATTGTTTTTTGTGGCGTTAAGTCAAATAGTCTCCTTATTGCTCTTACACAGAACTACCTGAAAGAACAAAGTTCCTACACAGGCTCCGTAGCTGGCCTGGACCATGACTCTATGCCTGAGATTGCTTTTCCTGGAAAATTTATTGTGAGCTCTGAGGGGATTTAATACATGTTTACAAAATGTTTTCTTGTCCTGACCACATGTGGTAGGCAGAAGAATATTCCCTACCCCAAGATACTCATGTCCCTGGAATCTACATTTAAGTTACCTAGTGTGCCACAAAGGACTTTGTAGATCTCATTAAGGTTAAGGGCCTGGAGATTTTTACATTATCCTGGATTGTTTAGGTAAATTTAATCTAACTGTGAGAATCCTAAAAGCAAAGAATCTCTTTCAACTGAAATGGAGACAGAGACGTCAATGAAAGAATGACTGCAGGTGCAACACTGCAGTCTCTGAAGAGAAGGAAGGAGGTCACATGCTAAGGAATGCAGGAGGCCTTTACAGACTCTTACGGTCTGGATCTAAAATGTTCCCCAAGGCAAGCTGATGTCTCTTTGGCAGGGGTTTGGATCATGAAGCCTGTAACTTCATCAGTGTATTAATCCAATGATGGTATCATAATTGGATGACATTATTAGGAAGTGATGGAAACAGGAGGTGGGGTCTAGTTAAAGAAGTGCATCGTGGGAGTATGACCCTGGCCTCTCCCTCTTAGGCTCTTTCCATTTCTCTCTGAATTCTGGCTGCCATGAGGTGAGCAGCTTTCCTGCACCCTGGCCTCTACTATGATGTTTCTACCATGCCACAAACCTAAAAACAATGGAGTCAGCTGACCTTGGACTGAAACCTTTGGAACCATGAGCCAAAATAAATCTTGCTTCCTTTAAATTGACTTCCTCAAGAATTTGGTTATAGCAATGAAAAGCTAGCAAGCATGCTGAAAACAAGAGGAAATGAACACCCCCATTCCACCAGAGCCTCTGGAAAGGAACATAGCCCTGTCCACACCTTGATGTCAACCCATTCAACTCATGTTGGATTCCTAACCTACAGAACCATAAGATAGTAAGTTTGTGTCTTTAAATCATTAAATCTGTTATACATTAATCCAACACTAAAATAATGTGTGCTTCTCTTATGAACTTTAGAAATTTGAGAAAACATTTAAAATGGAAACAAAAGTTAACCGTAATTTTGTTATCCTACAATATCCATTTGTTAAATTTTTTGAGGTACATCATTCCTGTCTATTTTTTTCCCTACAAAGTTAAAGAGTACCTTAGTTGGTATACTTTATAAAACACAAAGATATGATTTTTCTTCATCAAAAGTAGTGTCATCCTTCACATATTGTTTTTATGACCTAATTCTTTTCTGCAGTGTGTGAATATTTCCCCACACCATCATGGTTTTTGTTTGTTTGTTTTTAATAAAATTTGAATAGCTTTTTTTTTTTTTTTGGTACCAGGGATTGAACTCGGGACCTTGCGCTTGCGAGGCAGGAGGCAGCACCACTGAGCTAAATCCCTGGCCTGAATAGATTTTATTTTTAAAAACAGATTTAAATTTACAGAATTGAGAAGATAGTACAGAGAATTCCCTTATATCTCACCCTCAGTTTCCGCCATTATTACCATCTTACATTAGTTTGATCAATTTGTTACAATTAATCTTCCATTATGTATATATCAAAGTTTATACTTGTTTTACCTAATATTACTTTTCTGTTCCAGAATCTCATTCAGCATACCACTTCAATTTAGTCATTGTCTCTCCTTAGGCTCCTCTTGACTGTGACAGTTTCTCAGATAACCATCATGTTTTCTATAGCAGAATTATTTTGGCTATATAATATTCCATCTTTACAATTGTAAGGTCAAAATTATATCAAAGATTTCTTAAAGTCGTCTGTGTTGTATTCACCTGTTAACTTCCAATTATAGATTATATGTGTATATTTTATAAAATATATGATTATATGCTACAGTGTAGCCATGGTTCTTTGTTTTGTTTTGTTTGGCGTACAGGGGATCAAACGCAGGACCTTGCACTTGTGAGACAGGCACGGCACCACTGAGCCCAATTTTAAAACATGTAATAGTACATTTATCACACTTGTACTTTTCCATCACCTTGACTCTTCTGTTGCCATCCAAAGACCTTCCTATCTAGAAGTCAAAGATGTATCATGATGACCTATACTTGGTCATTCATTGGCCAGCAAGTATCAGGATAGAAAAGGTTAAGAGCTTTACACATTATCTCCTTATAAATATATATACTTATTCCTAATTTATCAAAATGTGTCTCTCTGGAAGAGAGATTTAGTTCAATTTTCCACCTAAAATAGGAATCCACTTAACACTACCTTTGATATCCATTCAACACCAGCTTTACCTAAATATTCCCAGTGACTGGAAGCACTTTAACATAAATTACTAATTTAGAGCAGCTCTTATTAGTAGAAAATATAACTTTCTATTAAATCTGAGTCTTGCCTATCTATAAATTCTACTATTGGTCTTGTTGGCCCTTGTAACTAATCAACACACAATAATAACTACATTGTCTTCTCTATGGTAGCTAGCCAAATATTTTTAATACAACACTTATAACACTTAAATATGTAGATCTCCTGAAGGAATGCTGGGATTTTTGAGATTATAATGGAACTGTAGTTAACTGTGATCTCTCTTAAAGATATATTGTATGGACATTCCATTGTTAGTCCTCAGAGAAGTATCAGGCAATTCTCATTTAATTCAGAAGGCCACAAACAGACCAGTTCCTCTCTCTCCCTCTTGAGACTTCATTTTTTTGGATCTCAATTTCAAAACACTAGGGATACACTAGAAGATATTCCCAAGGCTTAGAAATTAAGTTATCTATTCCTCACAGAGGAAGACTAAGAGATATGCAAAGGGGTATCCTTGGAGGACATCTGGGCCAAGGATGAGTTAAGAAAAAAAAGGCAAGATTGCCTAGTTTTATTTGCTTATCTTTGTTATGATCTCAGTAGAATATTCTAACCTTGTCTTAACTGTTATCTGGGTATTATAGAAGAGAATTCATACATGAATCATGAGCCCCTTTAATGGTTAAAGTGGAGAATAGCCCTACTGTTGACAATAATTAGCAAGAGACCTTTTAAGGTAGGGAGTGTAAGTAGGCATCGTCATTAACACCAATCAATTAGCAGTGGCTGCCTGGAGCACAGGTGGAGAAAAATCCTGAAGCCACTTCCAGATTCATCAGGAAGGAATGCTTTGATCAGCTCTCTCTACTATGGATCATAGCATGACAGCGGGGATGGCAAAGAGGTGCAGGACACACATGATCTCTGTGCTCCTGGAATAGAGCTGCTACTTTGGAGGGTCAAGTTTTTTTGTAGTTGAGAAAAATTCCTTTTATTAAGGAAGAAAATATATTAAGAAAGTTACCCTTGACCTTATCATGTCCACCAGTATTTCTCTAGAATAGCTCCCTCCATTTCCTTCTGTGGAGAACACTTTGAAATGTTTTTGAACTTGTTTTTGAATTGTATAACCCTAAGTGTGCTGTGTGATGTAACCCTAAGTGTGATGTAACCCCAAGTGGTATCGAACTGATAAGGGTGTAGCCCGAATTGGACACAGGGCGTACCCTGAATTGGACAGGGCGTACCCCGAATTGGGCAGGGTGTGCCCCAAACTGGACAGTGTGATAAATCTGAACCAAAACCACAAATGCCCAGTTAGAATAGTATAAAAGGAGCTGACGACTCCAAGCAAGTCGTTGATCCGTCCACCGACCAGTCGACCAGTCGATCTGCTGATCTGACTACCGACCGAGACATCTGCACACCTGATCCCGCTGGAAGGAGCATCGCCGCCGACCAGACGAGACCAGAGGACGAGGAAAGCGGAGAGGCGGACAGCCTAGCGCCGACTCGACGCCCTTCGTCTACGGATCGGACCCTCTGACCCCACGGGAGGAAACATCGCGCTCCCACAAGGACTTGCGCAGTACAGGTACAGGGACGTGGTAATTGGCAGACTTAATATTGTGTGATAACTGTATTGACGTGAAGTGTATTGAAGTGAATCATAATAATATAGGATAAGTGTGTGAACTGCCATCCGAGTCCGAGTCCTCTTTACCCACGGTACCTGCTTCAGTGTGGTTTTCAGGCCTTTTGGGATCCAAGTGGTGCTCTATGCAGCACATTTTGGTTTATCTTTGTCCTTTTAATATGCTATACCCAGAACTCCTTGGAAAGTGGTGGAGTAAGAAACTGTGCATTAAGGGGAGAAGGGTATTTGCAGCCCAGGGGTAGAACTCTAGAGCGTCTGCCTAACAGCATAAGGTTTTGGATTCTAGCCTTAGCATTACAAAAATATGTGTTATTTATTTGTTAAAGACATGAAGAAATGAAGGGGGAAAAAACATAGCCAAATACATTCCTAAATGATACTGAAAACAAATAGAGAAAAAGCCACAAAACAGCAAGATTTAGAACTCAGGCATGATGATGCATGCCTGTAACCCCAGAATTCTGGGAGGCTGAGGTAGGAGAATCCCAAGTTTGAGTGCAACTTGGGCAATTTAGCAATTTAGTGAGACCCTGTCTCAAAATTTTTTTAAAAAAATAAGCTTTTAAGTTTTTTGAAAGTCTGGGGATGTAGCTCAGTATGAAGGTCCTGGGTTCAAATCCCAGCACCATAAAAAAATTTCTTTTCAACCATAGCAAGATTAGACTCGAATACTTTTATTAAATCCAAGAAAATCAATGAAAATGTGTCTACCAAGCACAGCACCACAGAAGCAAGCGAAGAACCTAAAGAAGATGCTGTCAATGGTAGAAAATCTAGTGCTCACCAAAAACTTACAGGCAAGGGCAAATAGATTTTTATTCTGTATTCAAAAAATGAAGTTTTCTAAGTTAATAACTTGCTAAGTTATTTGTTGCAGAAATAAAAGATGAAATACTTCATTGGATAAAATTTAAGAAATAAGGCTTACTTATTATATATTTTAATATATATTAAAAGTACTAGGCCTGAAACATACTTATAAATATTCAATGTATTATTGAGCCATTATAACTTACTGTACATCTCTGATTATGTTTCAAATTGTACACAAAACCAAATGTTACAGAACAGGATAAAGATGAAGAGTGTCTATTCTTTAGAAAACCATGTGATCTCTAATTAAAAGCCGTGGAGTCAAAGACCTCTTGTAAGACCAGCCTGGCCCCAGAAGGGGCTCTCCTGTTTGCACATTAGAGACACCTGGAAAGTCATAAGGTTTTCTGCTCATTGTTGTGTTTTGTTTTGTTCTTGCTATTAATTCCAAAGTTGGCCAATTAAATCAAGCTTCCTAGGGAAAAAAAAAAAACTCTCCAAAGGATACTAATGATAAGCCGAAATGAGTCCTAGCTAAATTCTATCACTTCTAGGCATTTTGGCTAAGATTAAGTGTAGTCCTAGCTAAATTCTAATACAATTCTGTCTGCCATCTTCAACTCTCTAATAATAATTCACAGAAAACATCATCTGGTAGGATGAAAACTGACCACAAGCAGGAAGATTAAATTCTTCCTGCTCTGCTTTTATCGAAGATTGTCTCTCTATTCCCAACTAAGCCATGAGCCAATACTTTCTCACTTATGCAAATTACAGATGATGTTTCCAAGCTGGGAACTAAGAGAAGCAAGGTACCAAACAAAGACTGAAAGGTAAAACGTGTAAGTCATAAAATAATTTCTTCAATCAGGTTCATCAGTCCAAACTATGACGACTTGGCTCCAACAGTACAGATGTTTTTCAACAAAGTAAGAGTATTTGGTACATTTTTTGGCAGATGGCAAGATAAAGTCCATTTGCTTAAGAAGCCACTCCTCCTTTGATGTGGTTAATTATGACCTCATGGGCCACATACCAACCTTATCAAAACCCATCTGGACAGTGCTCACTCTTGTAAGACTGTCTCTCTTGGCTTCACCATGACTACTGCTTTCATCCCAACAGTGCCCCAGGAAGACATGCTTCCACACCAGTGACTTGAAACCTGAAAAAGACAGTCCCAGCCATCAAGACGTCCAACACAGGAGAGGATGTGGACAAATTTTGAAGATTGTAAGTGTCCTTTTCATTTTTCTTCATCTTCCCTTCTGTTGTCCATTCATCCACAAGTTTAAACTGTTTCTCCTAATTTTTTTTTCCTGTATTATGGAATAGAACTCACTAATTATAGGGGAGAGTTTCTTTTTTTTTCTTTCAAAAGTGTCAAAGCACGTAAAGAAGTGGTGAACATTCTCTCTCATCAATTCCAGCACTAACAGTGAGGTTGTGAGTTAGTCCAGACATTTTTTTTCTTATGTATATACTATACATACCTTCTCCATTGTTTTTGATTAAAATCAAAACAGTTTCGCACAGAAACATTCACACAAAATAAGTTTTACAAAGATTTTTAGGAAAGACGTTCCAAGTCACTCTGGTAGATTCAAAGGGCAAAGATCCAAAGGATAAATATGAGCAATAGGAAGAGAAGAAAATAAAACTAGAAAGAACTAAGAGAAAAGTCAAAAGACATCAGTGAGTGAAGAATTAAAGGAAGACTTCACTGTGGTCCACAAAGCTAAACAGAAGAAACAAAAACAAGACAGGAAATATAAAACTGCCTTTTTTAGTTTCAGCAATATAATAAAGCATTGCATAATATCAGAGAAAACTTATAACAGTTAATGAGTCAAGCAATTAGTTTAATAAAATTATTTGACACAGTTAAAATTGATATTTGATGTTAGCTTGTATGTATATAGGAGGATAAACATAAACTTACATGAAAAAGGATAAACATAAACTTACATGAAAAAGCCAAGATAAATAAAATATAATGATGATCATGGCAGACACCAGGGAAAACCATAAAGCATTTGTCAGGGAAACTAGCCAGGTGGGATGAATGGGAAAGCCCAAGGGAATGAATGAACATTTGCAGAGTTCCAGCCTGTGCCAGACTCTTCCAACGAGTGACTCTGTTCACCTACATAACTACAAAGGAGGAATTAATGATCTCCATTTAAAGTTATGGAAACTGAGGCCCAGAGAGATTTGGCATCCCCAACTTCTCAGCTAGTAAATAGCAGAAATACCTTTCAAACACAGACCTTGGGGCCAGGGATTTAGCTCAGTGGTTTCGCTGCCTGCTGCCCAAGTGCAAGGACCAGAGTTCAATTCTCAGTACCAAAAGAAAAAAAAAAAACAGACCTTGATGCCCTAAACCCAAGCCCCATCCCAACTGATAAGTGTTCCCTCCAGAGAAGTATGTTGTAGGAATGGGCTTATCTGAGAGATAAACAGTAGCACATACAGCATGACCTTGGCCCCAGTCTAGAGTTACTGGGACATAATCTGCATGTTAACAGATCCCCTGGTGATTGGTGTCCGCATCAAAGTCTGAGAAGTGCTCTGAGAAGTACTCAGAGAACATAATTTTCCCTAGAATTTAGCACTACTCATTTTGGGGAATTTCAAAAATTCTCTAAAACTGAAAAGTCTGAAAGTAGTGAAAAGTTACTTTCTACTATATCTATTTCTATTTGCATACTGGACATCTTTAATCATTTCATCTTTGTATGTGTGTATCAAATAGTTCTGACCATGCACTACGATGTGGAATTCTGCGTTGTCTGAAGGTCTCTCTATTGGAGACTTAGTACTCAGTGTGGCAATGTTGAGAAGTGATGAAACCTCTAAGAGGTGGGGTTCAGGGAATAATGACTAGGTTATTCGGGGTGCTGCCCTTGGAAGAGATTAATTCGGGCCTCATAGAATGAGTTAGTTCTTGCAAGACAGGGTTGTTACACAAAGAGTGAGACCAGCCCCTCCCTCATCTCTGGCTTCCGGTCTCACCGTGCATTTGTTCCATTAACACAGGCTCCCAACATGATGCCACCATCCTGAGACCACACCAGAACCCACTAGAAACCAGGGCATCATCATGCTCTTGGGCATCCAGAGAAGTGAGCTAAATAGATCTCTTTTTTCTTTACCTGGTATTTTCTTTTTCCCTGGTATTTTGTTGTAGCAATGGAAAGTGGATGAGCACATGATGGAAGAGAATAAAACAAGTCAAAAGACAGAATTGCTCTTCTTTGGCATAGAGTGTGGGCTGATGTTTTTCAGCAGCATTCACTAAAAAATCAATTCTTCACTCAAGTTCTTCTTTCTCTATTCTATCCAAACATGCAGGACAACCAATGTTAGCCCCGTCTCTACTGCTTAGACCTCAAAAACAGTCCCTCACAGGCTATGCATGTTGTGTGATGGGGATGGAAGTGTTGGGTTTGCAAATTCACCCTGAGCTTCTGTCCACTACCAGGGTTTAGGAAAGACTCAGAGGGCCCAGAGTCTTATTCCGGTGTGGTCCCTCCCATTTCCCTCCCTCACCCACGAGATGCAGCTGGCTCTGGGCAGATGGAAGTATAGAGCTCTTGAGGCTTCTGAACTCTGTAATCCAGCTCCCCAATGGTCTTGAGAAAGGCACTGGTCCTTTCTGGGTGCCTCAATTTCCTCACCTATAAAATGGGCCTCACCCAGTTCTCAAGGAAACCAGGAGAATTAATTAGTGTTTGTAAAGCTTTGAGATTCCCTAGATGAAAGTGGCTATATAAGTATAAATCATTACCATTACCATTATCATTATTATTATTATTATTATTATTATTATTATTATTATTACATAAAGTATGGATGGCAGTTTAAGCATGGGATTATATGTCAACCTCCTGGGATGATAGATTTCTGGATAAACAAAAAGTGCCATGGACTGTTATTATCACCTGCCTTTCCCATGTCTGTCCAGGAATGCATCATCATGTTTGCCAGCCTAATCATGCAAAGATAAGGCTTACTCAGTTCACTTGAGGTAAATTCAGATGAGATGGTAATGACTGAAGAGTAGAAAATATCTGGAACTGCAAATCTCTAAGATCAAGCAGATCCTGCTACCCACATGAGCCCTAGTCACCTGCTAAACAAAGATAAAAACAACTTTTAATCTACCCTTGTCACTGCCCCAGATTACCAAGTCAGTCCAATTAAAAGTCTGCATTTTCTTTTCAGGCACACTACAAATGAAAGTAGAAATAAATGCTGAGAGAATTTTAAATCTTCTCCCAGATGATCCTACTACATAACAAAGTAAAAGAAATGTGTGGGGGATTAAGGCCACTTCTGTTCACCCTCAGTAAAATGGAATCAGCCTCAGAGCAGATGTTCAGTTCTTTCTTTTTGCCAGGACCTGGCCTTATAATGTATGCATGTAATGGGGCTGGAAGTTCCAGGTGTCAGCCAGGCAGAGCTGCTGCATAAAAAAACCAGAAAATTTGGGAAGAACAGCTATATAAGGTACACTCCTACAGCTTCAGGGGGTCTACAAACCCCCTGACATAGTCCAAAAACTTTTATGTGTATGTGAACTTTTCTGGAAAGAAGGTTCACAGCTTTCAGAGATTTTCTACAGATTGTGTAACCTAAAAGAATTAAGATCCAAATGTTTTTGTCTCCCTTAATTTCACTATTCTTGGACATATGTATCTTCAGCTTCCCTGAAAAAATCCTAATTCACACTCTTTCCTGATATGGATGTGATAACTGTATCACATATCATGGGTTTTTTCCCAGACATTCTTCAACCCTGATATTCTGGGTATTATTAGAAAGAAGTTTAAATCACTATGACCCAAATAGGCTGAATCTGGTTCTGATTTTATTGTTCCAAATCATTCTCCATTTGGAATAATGTTTGTTCTCTGCTGTCCAAGTTTTTCACTAACTTTCTAAGACTTATATTGTTCATTTAGCTGCCCTTTCCATGTATTATGATGATTGGACCACAATTGAAATTTGGCAGAGGGGCTCAGACTGAGAAAGTATGAACCTTTATTTTAGATCTTCTCACCCAGCATTATTTAACTGTGGCTTCCAAGCTAAGCCAAGAATCAGGAAAATGCATAGTGAGATGTAAAAACTCAAGGAGAGAAAGAAGAAATGGAATAAATTCTATTTGGAGGCAGAACATACTCCCTAACTCAACTTTCTAGATTGCATTTTTCACTGATGCAAGTATTAATTTAAATGTTATTTGATACCATAATTCAGAAACCATCATGACAACATTGAGTATGTAGGGATTTTTTTATTATTATAAAATCCAAGACCCAAATGGATGCCTAAAACTGCATGTATATCCTGTTTTTTCCTCTACACATAGACCTATGATAAAATATAATTCATAAATTAAGAACAATAAGAGATTAACATAACAAATAATATATATAAATTTATAACAATGTGCTAATAAAAGCTATGTGAATGTAGTATCTCTCTCAAAATATTATACTCACTCACCACTCTTGTGATGGTGTGAAATGATACAATGCTAACATGATAAGAGGAAGTGAGATGAATGATACAGGCACTGTGTCATAGTGTTAAGCCACTTATGTGAAGGTTATTTAAACACAAACATTATTACCATGACCGTCCATCAGATAACCAAGATGGCAGCTAGGTGACTTGGGGTGGTAGCATATACAGTGTGGAAACTATGAACCAAGGGATGAGTCATATTTCCTAGGTGAGATGGAACAGGATGGCATGAGATTTAAAACTTAAGAATTTTTTTTCTGGAATTTTTCATTTGATATTTTCAGACCATGGTCAAACACAGGTAACAGAAACCGTGCAAAATCACAAATAAGAGGGAAGTACTATGTTTGTAAACTGAAGAGGGTCTACTACAATAGCCTCTAGCTCTAAAATTCTACACCCATGGAACTCTAGGCCAGTATTCAAAAGATGATGTAGACGCTTCCCATTGAGCTTTCTAACCTTGCTGGCTACCACAAACAAACATTTCTTGAGAAGTCATTTTATGCAAGAAGCTGAGCCTAGATGCTCAGTACAAATAAAACAATATCTTTGCCCTCAAGGATCTCCCAATATTCCTCATACTATTAACACAATATTATGAAGCTACACCTGAAGAATCAATGAAAGTTTGGTGGGCATGTAGCAGGAGAGGATAAAGAAGGCAATACATTCAAAGTCATGCCATATGGGCTGCCTGGGATGGGTGGGCTCCAGAATGAGCCCAAGGCTTGCCGCCTCCTCTGTTCTCCATTTGGCCCAGGCAATCAGAAAGGAAACCAGAGACTGCCTGTCTCTTTCCCTGCAGCTAATCTGTGCCCTGCTTCCTTCACTTGGAACTTGCTTCTGTCCCCTATAGTTATAGAACAAAGCAAAAGGGAGTCCCACCCTCAGAGAGAAAGACCTACTGAAGGCCCCAAAGCTCAAAATCTTTCTTGATCATTTCTTTACTTACTCCACTGTCCACTACTCTGTGCTGTTTCTGCCTAATAGGAGGAAGAATAGAAGCAAAAATGAGGTGATTTCGCCTTCTACCCAATTTCCTATACAAATGTGTTTACTTCTTTTCCTATTGTTCAGTTCGATTGGCATTTCTGGAAGAGCACATTGTTCCTCTCTGTATATTCCCATTGTAAGATGGAAACCAGATCGTTTGGGGTCCTGGCAGGTACAGTGAGGAGGTGAATTTTCTGGGCAAAAACATTGCCATATTAATAGGTTGGACTTCATAAAAGAGGGTAGTATCCAAATACTTGTTTAAATGATTTTTCAAGCAGGGCTTTGGGTTGGTACTAACTCTTTTATTCCACCTCCCTTGGGATTAAAGGAACATAACCACCAGAAAACTGAGACAATGGAACAAAACTTAAGATTTACACTCAGATCTGCATCTAAGGGTTGTACCAAGGCACAGTATCAAACCAGCAAGCAACTGCAATGATCTGCAGCTATTGTCCTATTAGATAGAGAAACTTTCCCAATAGTGTGATCAAATAATAGATCCCCCCACACACAGGAGTTATGTAATCAAATAACTTAAAGTCCTGGGTTTAAAAGTTAAACAAGTTTCTCTGCTACAGGACTTCTTAAAGTCTTTAATTTGCTAACTTGGTTAGCAAATCTTCAAAAAACTGACTTGCAAACTTATTAGACCTTTTATCCCTAAAGGATATTTGAATTCCCCACACATACAGAGAAACTGTTAAAAATCCATATTCTCAAGCCCTACTCTTAGAGTATCCCTAGAGCCTGCTCTTCAGCAGATCCTCCAGGTAGTTCAGGTGTGCACGGTTCGTACAACTAGAAATGGCAGCCTGCAGTGTTTCCTTAACTAGGCTCCTCAGGACCCGCCTTGAGAAAGACACAGGCTGGTGAAGGTCAGTCAGAGGGGGGCTTTTGTTATATTCCAGTACATCACAGCTCCCATTCACACTAACTTGAATAATGTTTATTATAGTTGTAAGGTATTATCTGTTAATGAAGAAAGGACAAACTAGCTACAGTATTAAAAGGAAGCAGTCAATTACTGATAAAGAATTCTAACCTCAAAAGGTAATTCTAAACTGAGTGTGGTAGCACACACTTATAATACCAGCTCTCCAGGAAGCTGAGGTAGAAGGATCACAAGTTCAAGCCCAGTATGGAAATTTAATGACTTACCAAGTCCCTGTTTCAAAATAAAATGTAGCTCCATGTAAAGGCTATGGATTCAATCTCTAGTATTAAAAAAAAAAAAAAGTAATTCTAGTAAAGATCATTCCTGTGTCAAGATTTTTTGATGTTTATTTTTAAATATGATCATCCAAATCAAAACACTTTCTCGAACATTTTTTAAATCAAAGAAAGAAAAGAACACTACAGTTTGGGGGTGATAAATTTAATCCATCTTAGCATTTGAGAAATTATCAGATTTGATCTCAATATACTTGTTAATGTTGACTATTAACCAACTGCTAACACTTTGGAGTTATTAACAGTCAAATGCCAGAAAGTAAACACAGGATTTTGATTCTTTGGAATCAACATGTGAAATGGGTCATTGCTGTAATAAGCTAGGAAGAGAGTGTTAAATATACACTTGAGCAGCTGGGGATATAGCTCAGTGGTGCCGCACCTGCCTTGCAAAGACAAGGTCCTGAGTTCAGTCCCCAGTACCAGAAAAAA